TGAAATAACACACACATAGTACTTAACAAAGGCCTGAAATATAGGAAGCATCCAATACATGATCATTCAGTAGGGATTGAAATAGAATCCTTTGCTTCCTGTGAGCACCATATTAAAGCTAATTTAAAACCAAGTTGATTGGAAAAAAATTTCCTGAAAGTGTTTTGATCCATAAAGCTCCTTAGAACTTGGGGTTCTTTGGTCAGAGTTGGTTTTAGACAAAATGGAGATTCTGATTAACTTTATTTTCTATATTTGGTATTTTAAAATTTCTCCCAATTTAGTATTAAAGAGCCAAATCCCAGAACTCACAGGAAGTCTTCCGTGGGCGGAGTGGGGATGGTTGGACCCTCCAGCAACTTTGAAGGCATTTTTGATGGAACTTGATCATCCATAATCTTAGCGTGCGCTTGAAGAATCGGGGCTCCCCCTGGCCTTTAAGGCTCTTCTGTATCGCAATAATGTTTCATTCCCTCAGGAAAGTGATGTTTTGAGTGGTTGTTTGCATGTCTCTGAGCTCTGGACTGGGGTAGGGGCCTTAGGGAACTTCTCTCCAGAGGGTCCCGAATCTACATACGTGCCAGGCAAGGCAACTGGCCTAGCTGATCCTAGCCCATCATACGGTTTGATATAACTCACTCAGGCTCTGAAACACACTGCAATGGCAGCTGAACTGCCTTTACACTTTTACCACACAGCCTCAGGAAATCTTTCAGTATTTGAAATCTGAGGTCCTCAGAGACTGAACAGCTTTTCTTTTCTTTTTCAGACTTCAAAAAGTCCGGTAGTTGAAGGCAGTTCTGAATGGAGATCTCATAATTCCCAAGGAAGTAAGTATGTTTTCCCTGACCTTTTTTAAAGCAGTATTCTTCACTTTGTGGGAAGAAATAATGGGTTTATCTAGGAGAAAGGGGCTCAGAAATAGGGATAAAAAATGACTTAATTCCATTTTTTCCCACTCTCTTCTGTCACGTCTCATAAAAAATTGAGACGGACAGAGCCTGCCATAGGTAATTTTGGGTCACTGTTTCTTTAACAGCCACTGACATAGTCATTGCTGAATAGAATGTTCCTGCCAACTGGTGTTAATAAAATCCAGGAACCAAGTTCATATGATTGACTGTTTAATAGCAAGACAAATACACTAGTTTGTATTGAGCACCGACTATAGACTACACAGTGACTGGATTTTCCTATATTTTGTCTTAATTAATTTTCTATTGATGGAGGGAAATTGACTTGCTTACAATGACACAGCTAGTAAGCATTAAAGCTATTATTCTAACTCAACTATTGAGCTTCTAGCCCATTCATTCAAATACTTAACAAATATTTAACAGTCTATGTGCCCGGCACTAGTTTGGGTAGTGAGTAATGATGCACAAAACAGTGACAGATCTTGTCTCTTTCTTCATGGAATTTAATCCAATAATCGTCTGTTGAAAGTCTTCTTTGGAACTTCCCAAATGGGATGTGATGGATGGGGGTGATTGTTCAAACCCCTTTAGAAACAATTTTGATGAAATGTCTATTTCATCTATCTTGGTGGTTTAGACTTCTCTTTCTCTCTTTAGAACTATAATAATCCATAAAATTAATGTTTTCCAGTTTTCAGCACACTTTCTCATTTGTGAAACATTAAATAAAACAGTCTTTCACATACTGTCTTTAAATGTTTAAAAAGTGTATTCATTTTTCCAAGACTCTTTCTGATATTTATTTTAGGCCCATGCAGAAAAGCTCGGCCATTGCAGGACTTGGGTGGGAGGCAACATAGCAGCATCAGCAGCAGCAGCAGGATTTGGATTCAGGCCTTGCAACCCTTCAGGGATGCTGCCTGGCAAAAGAAGCCTTTCCTGTCTCTGCACTGACTCCAAATTTCTCTTTGCTGCTCTGGATCCAGACACGTTTATTAACAGTGACTGCAATGCATACTGGAAAGGGTTGTCCATCAGGAGAGCATGGAAAGTACCTTGACTGATAATTGCTAATGTATGAAGACGGCAGTCTGGGATATTTCCATATTGGGAGCATGTGATAGCTGCTAGAAATCAGACCTACAGCTTAGGAGACTATAGTCAGGCAGTCAGTATTAACCAAGGAAATTGATCGACTCAGCGTTTGAGAAGGTGTTTTAGAAAATAATTCAGAATCCACACTAAGTCAGCTGTCTTTGATTCTTGGAGTTTTTCTTGGTTGTTTATCTGACCTTGTGTTGGGAAGAGGCTGGTTTATGAGATGGGAGGGTGTACATCTCGTTAGTCAAAGGACCACAGTGCTTGGCAAGCAGTTTTCTCTTCCTGGACTCCCCCTACCAGTGAGCAGTAATATTTGGCTACAGCTCTAGACCCTGAGTTAGCCATTTATCTCACCAAGTCTCAGTTTCTTCACATATATATCTATACACAAATATAGGTATTAACATATATATGTTGTAATATTTATAATATATGTAATTCATGGAATTGTGATTAAATGAAGATGTGAATGTACTGGAGTTTTATGAACTTTAGAACAGTGGTTCTCAACTGGGGCCAATGTTGGTCCCCCAGGGAGGTTTGAGACATTTGGCAATGTCTGGAGGCATTGTTGCTGTCACAACTGGGGAAGGGGGTGTATTACTGGCATCTAGTGGGTAGAGGCCAAGGATACTGCTAAACATCCTGCAATGCACAGGACAGCCTCCTCACTCCCACACCAAAGAATTGTCCAACCCATAGTGTCAGTAATGCCAAGGCTGAGAAATCCTGCTCTGGAGGATTATACAGATTGTGCGATTAAGTATTTGTGTGACCTTGAGGGCCACCACATACCTCAGTTTCCTAATACGTAAGATCAGGAAACTGCCTATTTTAGATCACGGAATATTGTGTCTACTAATTAGAGAGTGCACACACTTGCAAAAAGTCAAAAGAAAAAAAATCAAAAGAACAGGATAAATGTAATGGGAAGGACTGTTGGTTGGGAAGTCAGTTAGTACATTACTGGTTGGAAAACTGTCAATAAGCAAAAAAGTGACCCAAAATGGGAAATTCTAAGAATTTATCCTCAGGACAAAAAGAGACATGAGAAGACATCTATAAGGGTATTATTCACTAGAGCATTGTTTGTGAAGGTGAAAAATTGGAAACGAGGGAGTGGAGTATCATCATGGTTCTTGTCCAATAGTGTTTCACAAACTGTTTGAGCCAATTCTTGTGATACCACCCACAACTCGTGTATGTAATGGTCATCCAAACAGGATGGGCTGGCTTGTCCCCTTCTTCTTGTGGTATAAAAATGGCTTCTTACCACTGTGATCACTGCAGTTGCTTTCCAAGGTAAGCCAAGTTCAAGCAGAGCTGTGGCAATTTTCTCCTTCTAGGCCCTTGTTTCTTCCTGTCTCTCCTTTCTCCACACTTTTTCTCTCTTCCCTTGGTTGAGCCTGTTCCCACTCACTCTGCTTCCAAGGACACGAAAAGACTGTAAAGACCTCAGGCGGAGGAAAAACAATAGGAGCGAGACAGGGCACTAGAATTAGGACACAAGCCTTTCTCCATGCCTGCCTGTCCCCAATCTCACTGTTCCTTCTGAATGGTTTTCATACTACAAGTCTAAGCTAATATATCTGCGGGAAACACCAACCCAGTGAAACAAGAGAACAATAAGCTGTTTGTTGTGGGGTTAGGTAGCTTGGAAAAATATTTAAACACTTTGCTATTGATGTTCTTTTCAATTCACCCAATATTTATTTACATGTACAAGAGGCCATGGGATGCTGGGTGGGCGAGAGGGGATGAAGACAGTGACCCAAGGGGCTAGAGCTAGTTAAGGAGCTTGGTGTTTGCCCAAATAATTGTATGAATCAACTGAGACTCAAGTGCTTTTCAGAGAAGAGAGGACTTAATTGTAACCAGGATCAATAACGAAGACTTCCGAGACGAAGTGGAGATATATATATCTCCATGTAAATGTATAAATATAAATTTCTATTGAATCACTGTTGAAGGACAAACTCATAAAGACATTAAAAGTTGTAGTTAAGAGCTCTAGATTTAATATCAGACAGACCAGAGTTTTAATTCCACTTCCAACACTTATGTGACTTTGGGCAATAGTTACTTTATTATTATTATTTATAATAATAGTTCTTCAGTCCCCATCTAAAAGATACTAGATTTTAGGAGCAGATAGTAGCCAGGAAAAGGAATCCAAGTATAAAATATACTGCCAACTGGAAATAATCCACATAAGAAAGCAAAATGTTGTGTTTGCCTATTTTATATCATAGAGCATTGTTTATAAAGATGAAAAATTGGAATCGAAAGAATGGAGTATTATCATGTATACAGTTTATCCTTGTGTAAAATGAGGAAAACAATAAAATCAATCCCAAAGAGCTGGTGTGAGGATTAAGTGGGTTATCTATAAGTAAAGCCCTTGGAGAAGTGCCTGGCATATTGTAAGATATTATGATTTCTATGATTAATACCGTATAATTATATGTGCATAGAATATGTCAGGTAATATCCATAGAGGCTATATCATTGGGAGTGAAATAAGAAGACAAGAAATGAGGGATTTCTACTTTTTACTTCATACTGTTGTCTTTCTGGTTTTTTAAAATTGAATAAATAAACCTTAAAAACTATCCTACCAGACTCATCATAATTTTTATATGATGTAAACAGAATAATTCAGGCTCTGAGCATATAGATTTTGGATTCAGACATATAAAGGTGTGAACTTTGATTATGACCCCTACTAATTAGGTTATTTTGGTTAATGTTAAGCTCCCTGAGCCTTAAGTTTCTCATCTGTAAAATGAGCATAATACCACCTATCTCACAGGATTAAATGCTGTAATATAATGGAGGGGTCCAGGATGTGCCTTACACATAGTGCATTCTTCATATATATTAGTTTTCTATTTTTATATCATCCCATTATTCCTCTTATACTTTCATCTGTTTCCTTGACTCCTCTTCTTTAATCATCAGGCTAAATTCAACTTGACCTTAATGGAGAATAGCACAGAGATGGTAGAGTTCATCCTCTTGGGATTAACAGATGACCCCAATCTTCAGCTTCCTCTCTTCCTGGTATTTTTGTTTGTCTACCTCATCACTCTTGTTGGGAATGCTGGGATGATGGTGATCATCTACTCAGACTTTCGCCTCCACACTCCAATGTATTTCTTCCTCAGTAACCTTTCCTTTGTAGATCTGTGTTACTCATCAGCCATAGTTCCTAAGATGGTGGCTGCATTGCAGCCAGAGAACAGAGTCATCTCCTACAGTGGATGTGCTGCTCAGTTCTTCTTCTTTGCGGGTTTTGGCACTGTTGAGTGCTACCTCCTGGCCTCCATGGCCTATGACCGTCATGCAGCAGTATGTAGGCCTCTTCATTACACCACCACCATGACAGCAGGTGTGTGTGCCCTCCTGACAATTGGCTCCTATGTCTGTGGTTTCCTCAATGCTTCCATCCACACAGCAGACACCTTTAGACTCTCCTTCTGTGATTCTAATGAGATTAATCATTTTTTCTGTGACATGCCTCCACTCTTGGCTCTCTCATGCTCTGACATACGCATCAGCGAGTTGGTTGTCTTATTTGTTGTGGGCTTCAATGTCTTTTTCACCCTCGTTGTCATCCTTATTTCCTACCTCTTCATATACATGGCAATTCAAAGGATGAGCTCTGCCGAAGGAAGGAAGAAAGCCTTCTCCACTTGTGCATCCCATCTCACTGCAGTGTTCATCTTCTATGGCCCAATGATCTTCATGTACTTACATCCCAGCTCCAGCCAGTCCATGGACACAGACAAAATAGCATCTGTATTTTACTCTGTTGTGACTCCTATGCTGAATCCTTTGATCTACAGCCTTAGGAACAAAGAAGTTAAAAATGCTGCCTGGAAAATGCTCAATAAATTTTACCCCCAATCTTTAAGTGTGAACAGGAAGTAGGCAGGTAACTAAGGTAATCCCTCAGACCTAAATGCCATCCTGACTTTTTGAAGTTTGGCAGATTTCATTTCTTTCTTCTCCAAGAATAGTGGTTGCTTCTGCTATTAGGAGAAATCATAAAAGCAGAAGATAATCTTATATTTATCGAGCAATACCATGAGATGTTTAAACTCTTCTTGCATTTAGTTTCTTGACATAGTTTAAAGCAGAAGATCAAAGTATGAACTGAATGCCCTGAATTTCCCCTTTCCTATTTTTATTTGGGAGAAATTTCCATTCACTATTAAAATTTGGGGTAAGAATCACATCTTCATTGAATAATATTTATCAACTGGAATGCATAGCATTATGCTTTTCAGTTTTTTGGTCCATGGGTTTGAAAGTTAAAGTTTCTAACGCTGATGAAGGGTGTTTCAATATTTTTGAAAATGTCTCAGAGAAGGTTGTAATTTAAAGGACAGGGCAGTGGACCAAGAGTCAGGGTGACCCTGTATTAAATTCCTACAATCTCCCATCTGTCTGTGCCCACCCACAGTTGCACAGCCACTCATCGGTCATGCACCTCTGTATTCTTCATCTCCTTCTGTTAAATTGTTGGAGCAACTTTGGTAGGAAACTATTAGCATGTTGTGTATGTAACAGTTTCAGTAGATAAATTGCTTAAACTTTAACCTGAATAAACATATCTTTCTTTAGAGAGCTCTCACTCTGTTCTATACTTTTGGCCTTTGTCTAGCATAATTACCAAAACTTGCAGAAGGTTTGGAGAAAAAAAGTATTTTTTCCCCCAAGAACTGTGAAAGAGGATGTTTGCCTTCTGAGTTAAATGGTTGCATTTCTCAACACCATTAATTTTGGTAGATCTATTATGAATAAACATAATAGCATTCTGTGCCCTTTTTGCTTCTGTTTTTTCAATAATTCAGTTCACTTCTGGATCCCTGTTGCATTATGAGTTTCTGTAGTTAGATACTCAAGAATAAAAAAGCCTGTGGAATTTTACTTCATAAGATGTGAATGTCATGATGATGCACAGCTCAAGTCCATCTTCAGGTCTGGTCTCATGTGCTAGATTGTGTGAGCAAATGTGTGTGCGTGGGAAGGGAGTGGTGATTAATTTTACTTTTCACATATCAACTCGTAATGATGTTTATAGCTACAGTTAGTCTAAGTTACCAGATATTTCATGATTTCAAGATCTCAAAAAAAAAAAGGAATTTTTATTTTAAATGTGAAAACTGGAAGTCTTGATGGGCTAAATCAGGGGGCTTAGAAGGTCAAATTAGTTTTGAGATTATCAAACTCTGTTATGCATAAGACAGCCTCTGTCTGAAGAGGGTTGATCATTGGTCTTATGGAGAGAGGAGCAGAGAAGGGGTTTGGGAACATGAGGCCCACCTATAGGAAAAACTTTTTCTGGTACAAGGCCATCATCACTTAAAGAGATCAGGAGCATCTCCTGGATCCAAGACCTTGACAACCTAGACTTGCCTCGTATATCCTCTTCTTCCCTATTTAGTAGTGAGGCCTAACTAGTCACATACCTAGAAGAATGGCCTTTAAATACCAAGATCCACTTCACATAGGAGTCCTTCTCAGGGACTTAGAGAAGTTACAGAGTTCAAGGGTGCCCAGATTTGGAAATGAGTCTGGGAAGCTTCTATCAACCTCTGAGTACATTCCAGTCTTAGATTCTTTTCCTACTTGATTGATATAATTGACTTCTTTTCCTCTTCTCCTGTTCCTCCTTTTCTACTTCCTCTTTTTTCCTTCTCCCCCTTCTCTTTTTCTTCTTTTTCTTTTTGACATTTTCCTATCCTCAGCCCAAACAAGAACATTCCTCACCACTAAGCTATTAGTTCCCTGTGAAGAATTAAAGTCTGTGGTTTGTAATCATAACTAATACAGTACACAGTAAGGTGTGTTTCTGGGTGCATTTCTTTATGCCTCTACACCCTAGTTTAGGCAGAAAAGTATGTGGATATTCTAAGAATTAAAGGCCTAAAGTCTACATATTTTCTGTTGAAGTCATCTCAAACTAGTGTTAGAGTTGACTGCAGATGGGTGGAAAAGAATACTAGATCTAGTATCAAGAGCTGGATGAAAATCCTCACTTTTCTTACAAGTTGTGTGACCTCAACAAACTAGTTTAATGTCTTTGAACCCAACATATACGATAAACTGTGAAGATAACATGAAATAAAGTATGTGAACATGCCCTTCATAATGAATGCATGTTTGATACAACTGAGATTCCTGTAACAGCTCTCACTTATCTGTCCTTGTACTTCCCACTTCGGGCTCCTGAGCTCCCTCACTCTCCCCACCCCAACCAAGTCCAAGCCTTGATTTCCACTCATTGTTTAGCTTTCTGTCCTCAAATCTCCCAGTTCTCCAGCAGACACAGTTCAAGCTGACATTACACAAGTATTCATTTAAAGAAGCTACTCAGAAGGAGACATCTCGTCGCCAGTAAGACATCAACTTACAGAATACACATTACTGTGGGGAGCTTTTCATTTCCACTTGGGAAATCTGTCAAATGGAGACTAAATGCCCATTTGGTTATTAAAAACGCCCACCCTCTCCCTGCAGAAATGGTCTGGTGAATGAGAGAGGCTGTGAGTAAGGCTGATAGCTCAAGATAGTGCAATAAAGGCACACAGGAAGATTTCCTTTCTGAAATGTCCAAAAATAGAATGTGAAAACACAAAAATCAGGACAATTATTTATATCAGGATAGATTATCCTTTTTTTTTTTTTTTTAAAGATTGGCACCTGAGCTAACAACTGTTACCAATCTTCTTTTTTTTCCTGCTTTTTCTCCCCAACACCCCCCCACCTCCAGTATATAGTTGTATATTTTTAGTTGTGAGCCCTTCTAGTTGTGGTATTTGGGACACCGCCTCAGCATGGCCTGATGAGTGGTGCTATGTCTATGCCCAGGAGCCAATCCAAACCGGTGAAACCCTGGACAGCTGAAGCAGAGTGTGCGAACTTAACCACTCAGCCACGGGGCCGGCCCCCCTAGATTATCCTTTTGAAAAAAGATTCAAGATTGAATTGTTATGAATAGAAGGCTCCCTTTGTGAATTAGATGACTTGTTTAGCTTTATGTATAGGGAAAGGTAAATTAAAATATCAGCAGTCCTTAACAATTGAAGCTAGAATTACAGAATCATTGACTCTTTAGCCCTCCAAGACTCTTTAAAAATAGTCTAAACCGAGCCTCTCATTTTACAATTGAAAACCCTGATTCCCACAGTTTAACTTGCTTAAACTCACAGAGAACCAAATCTTACTTGACTCTTATTCGTCTTTTACATTCTGTACAGTTCTTGATGTATCAAAAGACATTTTTGCTTTCATTTGTTCACCATGAGGTAGACTTTTTTTTTTTTAAGGAAGATTAGCCCTGAGCTAAGCTGCCAATCCTCCTCTTTTTGCTGAGGAAGACTGGCCCTGCGCTAACATCCATGCCCATCTTCCTCCACTTTATATGTGGGACTCCTGCCACAGCATGGCTTGCTGAGCGGTGCTGTGTCCGCACCTGGGGTCTGAACCAGCGAACCCTGGGCCACCCAACTGGAACGTGTGCACTTAACCACTGTGCCACTGGGCCAGCCAATCACCATGAGATAGATTTTTGTGCTTAAATTTTGCAGTTGAGGGAACCAAAGCTTTGAGATGTTAACTTACCTTCCTACTGTTAACAAGAGGAGCCAAGATTTGAACTTAAGTCTTGCCTTCCCTGCCCAATTCTCTGCGAAAGGAAAAGTACCCTTATATTTTAGTAAATTTTAATACAGACTTACTTGATGTATAAATAATTTACAGAGAGTTTTTCATAAGTCCCTGCCATGTGGAAAGGCCATCTGGAGAATACAAACAAATGTAAGACTATAAGATGCAATTCCTACTTCAACCAAGCAAATCCTCCTATATATATGGTGACTGATGTAATTCACTTTGAGTTTGATGACTCGGTGTTCAATAACTTTATTGGCAGGAAGTTTTCCTATACTCTATGGAACATGAATGGATCAGGGCACATTTCTTCTCAGTCTCAATGGTTGGAGTTGGTTCTTTGAATGCCGTGGCCCACAGAGGAATAGCCAATGTTTGCCAAACACAAGCTGCAAGAAAGGCATGGTGTGAGGTCTCTGATGGAACCAGGAAATTTACAACATTGCTCTTCCTTCAGGAGCAGCTTGCAAACAGTGCAGTGGAACAAGGCACACAATTCTAGATAAATGACTATTCAAGGCATTTATGGTAATTGACAAGTAAATGGTATAGAAAATAATGATTGGACCTCTCCAGAGATGAGAAAGAATCCCATGGACAGGAAAAGCTCCCTGGAGGAGGTAGAACTTGAGCCAGGCTGTGAAGGAATAATGTAGAAGGAGTCTGTTATTCCAAGATAGAAGACTTAGCTTCTGGTCAAAACTCTAGCACTTGCCAGCTGTGAGAATGGAAAAGCCATTTCTGTATGAGCCAATTTCCTCATCATCAAAGTGGAATAACAGCAGTAGTTACACCTTCCTCAAGGGTGTTGTAAGGGTCAAATGAGACAATGGGCAGCAAAGCATTTTTAAAATTGCTACCTTCTTTCTAACATTCGTATTGGTGCTGGTAATTATATTACAAGCAGAGCTAGATGAGGAGTTCCTGACTAACAGAGACACACTTGAACTGAGGTATGGAGATGGGATTGCACATGGCAGGAGCTTCTGTTGGCAAGAGCTTGTAAGAAAGGTAAACCACTCAGATTAGAAATCAGTGAACCACCAACTCCTCAGTTCATTACTTTTATGGTAATTAGGACTCGTTCTCATCAATGGATGAAGAGCCTGCACCTATGAGAGCAATTGTGGTCCTATAGAGATGTCATACTTATAGAGAGACTTCTGTAGGATCCCACCACTCAACTATCCAGATCCAAGGCAAGAATCCTACCTCCTGTTTATAACATAGAATTTCTCAGTTGTTGGTCTGTG